ACCAGAAGGCTGGCGGTTCAAACCCACCAGCCACTCCTCGGAAGAAAGGTTGGGCAATCTACTTCCATAGTGATACTGCCTTGGCAACCCAAGGAGGGATCGCTATGAATCGGGTCCAACTCAATGGCACATAACAACAACAACAACATTATTATTACTAAGGAGCTCTGGTAGTGTAGTGGTTAAGGGATTTGGCTGGTAACCAAAAGTCTGGTGGTTTGAATCCACCAGCTGGTCCACAGAAGAAAGATGAGGTGGTCTGCTTCCGTAAAGATTTACAGGCACTATGAGTTGGAATCAACCTGATTGCATTGAGTTATTATTATTACTATTACTGTTATCATTGGATCAGAGTATAAAAGATTGTGATCCCATTGACAATTGCACATCAATAGGCTTCATAGTGCAACGTTAGTTCATTTTGATGGAGGCTGTGCTCTGCACTGGCCTGACTCTCAGGGGGCCCCCTTGAGGACTGACTGGGCAGCATGGAAATGGCCCTTTGTGACCATGACACTTTTCATCCTGCTAAATGGCTCATCTATTACCATAATAGACATTTCTGTGATGCTTTTACCATCACATTGCTTGTGAACTAGCCTTGAGGAAGAAATTTGAGTTTTGTTTGATGAACTGAAGTGCCAGGTGACAAACCATTTGAGAATTGACACCAAGATGAGAATCTGTAGTTCACAGGCCAGGGAATAAAAACAAGAATATGTGGGATCAGACAAACCAATGGATTTACACTTCCAGGTGACCCTACCAGTTAGGGTCAGGCAATACAGTAAAAATCACAGAGCCAGGCAGAGTGTCAAAACATGGGGCTCAGGAGCCTGTTCCTGCTAGGAGGGCACAGCTAGGACTTGGCAGTGCACACTAAGCATCAGTCAGTCAGGGCGAGCAGGAGGCACAACCTGCAGTGGTTTTTGCAGCTAGCACAGCAGCTGGAAAGCAAAAGCCAGAAAAGATGTGGTTCAGAAAACACCAGAAGCCAAATGCAGTGATTAGGAAGGATATTCTGAAGTCAAGAACCAGTCTTTGGAAGTTGAAAAAGCCTTGATCATAGATTGCATTCAATAAGTTATTTATTGATTGACTAACAGACAACAAGGCCACAAGACAGGGCAAGTATGTCATCAGAATGCTGGCAGGGTCTTACTGAATTGGTTGCATCTTCTGAATGGATAATTTTATACACCTTCACCCCACTACCAATGAAAATTGCAAAGATTAATGCTTTAAAGAGGAGCTCTGGTAGCATAGTGCCTAAGGCACTTGACATTCATTGAATAACGAATATATGTTAACTCTTATTATTACTAAGGAGCGCTGGTAGCATAGTGCCTAAGGCACTTGACATTCATTGAATAACGAATATATGTTAACTCTTATTATTACTAAGGAGCGCTGGTAGCATAGTGCCTAAGGCACTTGACTGCTCACCAGAAGGCTGGCGGTTCAAACCCACCAGCCACTCCTCGGAGGAAAGGTTGGGCAATCTACTTCCGTAGTGATACTGCCTCGGAAACCCAAGGAGGGGTCGCTATGAGTCGGGTCAAACTCGATGGCACATAACAACAATAACACAATGCTTTAAAGTAGCATTTACTATTAGCTCTTCCATTGGCTGATACAAAGATTCTCTATAAGTAATCGTCAAAGTCTGGGCATTTAAAATATGTGGTTATATTCTAGTTAAGGAAACCCTATAGGTATAATTGTACAAGAGGGGAAGAAGGAGGAAAGAGATTGTTCCTCAAGCTTGGCAGTTGGTAGTGAGAATGCCCTCAACATAGTCCACAACATATCACAGGTGGTCTGGGCACTAGGAGGAGTTGGCCTGCTGAAAGGCATGCCCAGGTTAACATGGTGGAATGGCGTGTGGGGTGGACAAGAACATTCTGGTGAGACATTTACAGAAAGCTCTGTGATTTCCAGACCCAGCTGAATTCACAGTGAAAAGAGCTACCAGCTGGGGGTGAGCCATTATTGGTAGCTGGGTCCATAACAAAATCATCACAGGGGTGCAAAATCTTGTTAACTCTATCTCAAAATCCTAACACCAAAAGAATATCTTTTAAAGTTTAAAGGAGGTGATTTTAGAGAAAATAATCAGTCCATTTTTACTTAGCTTATAGTAAAGCAGTCAAATGCATTAGGCATTATGCCACCAGAGCTCCTTTATAATAAACCTACATATGGAAGTTGATGGCTCAGTATAGGGCACAGAGTGAAAATAAAAAAGTTCAAGAAGAGTTGATATGAAAAGTAGGGAAGATAAATCTATACCAGGTGATTAAGGGGGAAGTCACCCATGTTGGGAGTCATCCGTAAGTAGATCACAAAGCTAAGAGGGACAGAATAGAATAGAAATAGGTACTTCAGTCATCTGGATATTCGCTGAAAGTTACAT